ATCGGGAGAATGTCTTTATTCGGCTGCACGGAAGAGGTGTAACAGGGAGGCAGAGGCGGCCGCCGGGCGGACAGCGTTAGTATCTGCGGGGAAGGCCCGCAGGTCTGTAGCGGTTGGGGTCCCCGCCGTTCCGGCCCCAGGCGTTGGCCTCTTGGTCAGCTCGGGTGTCCTCTGCCCCTCTGCCGCTCACGTCGCTTTGCCATTTTTCCCGGGCGTCACTAGCAGGAGGGGAAAAAAGGCCACCTGAGCCAAGCGGCATTTAACTCCGCAAAACTCGCTTTTCCACGGGACTTCTCAAAGGGAGATGCAAGCGCATATTCAGTCCTTGTCTGAGAACCACGGTGGAATCCATAGCTGTTACGCCAGGAAACCAACCAGCGAGGAGAGAGAGTGCCTTATCGCCCACAATGCAGAGGTAAGGAACCTGCCTTCTCGGGAGGACAGGAGGAAGGGCTCAGCTCCTGTGGGAGGAGAGGCACCATTCCTATAGACGGGCTCTTCAGGCGTTAACTGCTTCCCCTCCACTGTCCTTTTTGGTCAAAAACTGAGTACAAGTCAAAAAGAACTTGGCTCTAACTGGAATGCCTGGACCCCTAGTAACTCACTGTTGACAAGCCAATACACTCCATTACCTGATCACTTTGGCTGCCCAAGCACCGCCAGGTCCTCTTCGGGCAGCATCATAATTCCCACGAGCATGGAAATATTTGTCGGCACCTATAAAATTTGCCTCACGCATGTCCCGATACGCTCGGTACATATCCCGTGCCCCTGAAGAAAGCAGAGAAACAGAGATGATGTTGACTTTAAAGAGTCATCCCAGAAACAGTTAAGTCCCATTTCAGCCAGGAGCTGAAAGGCCTAAGGAGCAGTAATGCAGAGAGGCGCTTCTCCACGTCACCCTTTGCACCGGGGTGTGCCCACGGGAAGGGCCTGTGGGGGCTGATCGAGGCCCTCTTCCAGCAGCACAAACCAGCTCAGTGGAGCCGCAGACCTCCCAGCTCCAAGGACTGCATCCATTGACTGCCTGTGCGTGGGGAGAGGGTTCCCGAGAGAAAGGCCTGTGCCAACAGCAGCTTACCTCCCAGCGCATCCCAGACAAATCGTCCACCTTGGACCAGTGCGTTAGTGCTTGCACACGAAACAAAGCAGAGCAACACAAGGCAGACACAGAGCCTCATGGTTCCTGGCCCAAGCCTGGCACGGAGCTGTGAGACAGAGAGGTGAGCAGTTCTGAAACACCTTTGAGAGACTGCTGACATAGCACCCATCACACCCATAACTGTGCCTGGGAGCTGCCCCAGCGCTGACGGCTAGCCCAGGAGCCCGCTTCTTCCCCCCGCCAGGGACTGATGCCCTCTGTGCGACCACAAGCTCAGCTAAGGACTCTGCAACAGAGGCAGATGGATGCGAGAAACTTGCATTTTAGCATTCCCTGCTGCTCCCATCATGAATACAGAGAAGCCCCACATGCTAAAGTATTAGTCCTATTCCCCAATACCAGCTAAAACCAGTGCATATAGCTCATAAATTCAGAATATCACTCACCCCTGCAGAAATGCAAAGCAAAAGAAGATGGAGCTTGTCTTGTGTGCTCTCAGATTGAGAGAGGGTATTTATAAGCAATTCAAACCCCTCAAAAGAGGAAATTGGAAAGGATACCTATGGCTGGGAATTCCCCACCAGCCCTCTACTCTACTTCCAACACAGAAATCATTACAGTAAGCCTGTCCTTGGCCTTAATGAAAGTTCATAGCTCCTGTTACACAATTTTTTAGGAAGTATTGGTGCTTCTTCAGCTGGCAAGGGAACTATTTGCTCCTCATGAAAAAAAAGACTAGAAAATTATTTGTGTAAGTTGGAGTACAGGCTCACTAACGAATGTGCCATTTTGCCCAGACCCAGAACAGAGCATTGCCTTCAAAAACTGACTTAAGGAACTTCTGCCTACAAGAGCTCAAACATTTTTGGACCATAGAGAATATTTCTGAGTCTTCCGATGTCGTCTGATGTGTTTCACATTCTCTAGAAACCAAAATTTTCTAAAAAGATCACAAACATGAGGATAATTGCCAGGAGCAGATGCTAGAGGGCATCTTCAGAAGATCTCAGATTGCATCCCCTTGACTTGTCTCTGACAAGGAGGGTGGCACCAGCGACAACAATGCTGGAGTAACTGAGATAAAGCGCCAGCTTTGGGCTCCAGCAGGTAACAACCCAGGCGCTGCTTTCCCATACCACAGAATCATAGAATGGTTTGGGTCGGAAGGGACCCCTAGAGGTCATCTAGTCCAACCCCTCTGCAGTGAGCAGGGACACCACTAACCAGATCAGGTTGCTCACAGCTCCATCCAACCTGGCCTTGAATGCTTCCAGGGATGGGGCCTCCACCACCTCTCTGGGC